ATCCATTATTATCATGATTTATTTTGATTTTCAAATTGTCCCAGAGATGGCCAGTGGTGGTCCCTTCAAGCTGGCTCTTCTGTCCTTTTGAACATGTCATCTTCATTCTTTGAGCACTTCCCTGTTTTCTGGTACAAAAAGATGTTCCAGGCTCATCTTGTGTTTTCCCTGCCCTAGCCCTGGGATCAGTCATTTCTCCAAATAGCCACGGTTCCTTTTAGTGGAGACTGGCATTTAGAGGCCAAGATCTTGGTGCTAAAAGTGATAATTGCTATTGGAGTATTGATGCTCCCAGGCCCTCTTAATGGACAGAGCTAGGATTATATAAGGAGCCCTGGTTAAGTGCTCAGCTGCTAACTGAAACTTTGGCGGTTAGAACCCACCAGCTGCTCCATGGAAGAAAGATGTGGTAATCTGATCCGGTAAAGATTTACAGCCTTGGAAACCCTATGGGGCCGTTCTACTCTGTCCTATAGGGACTATGAGTCAGAATCAACCTGATGGCAATAGCTTAGTGATTATATGTATGTGTACAATAATGATATACGTATGCATCTAAATGTATTTTTATATCTATGTATTAAATGCAATGAGTTCCTGCCAATCACTCCAGTTAATCCGACAGCACAGGGTTCACTCTGACTCCCATTCATTTATCTGTTCGGTCTGTAACCAATCTCTCATTGCTGTTGTCGCCACCTTCCCCACAAGATGCTTTCCTCACCTGCTCTGACACCACATGCCACACTGCACCCTGGGGAGAAAGCCTTCCTCTCTCCCTACCTAGCTCCAACACCCTGGGTATTGCCAAGTTCCCCTCCCCAAAATATGGACATTCTCCTCACTCTGGGCTCTGATATCCTGCCAGGCCGTCCCAAGCATTGATGACCTTCTCACCCTGCTCTGACACATCATGCCTGGCTACCCCACCTCAGGGCTGCCTTGCTTATCGTGCTGGGGCTCTGACTCCCCACACTGGACCTCCCATCTGCATGGGTGCTCTCCTCACCTACTATGACACCCTGTGCCTGGTAGCGCTTCAAGGACGACAGCATTCTTACCTGACAATTCAGGCTCCAAAACCTTGCTCTGGGCTACCGCAGCCCTCCAATGCTCTTAGAGTAGATGTCTACCTTACACTACCCCACCTGATGGCTTTAGGATTGAATTGTAAAGGAAGTGAAGAGGCCATAGAGCTTAACTTTTACGTTTTAAACTCTTTACTTTTTTCTGATACTTCCAGGAGCTCCTTGGCCTAATCGTTAATTCAGACTTTGTCTATATCCAGAATATTCATCCTAGTTATTAATTATTTAGGTTGTCTATTATATTTTCCAAGGTCCCTGGGTGATGCAAGTGATTTACACTCAAGTATTAACCTAAAAGTTGGCATTCAAACCCACCCAGTGGTGCTGTGAAAGAAAGGCCTGGTGATCTGCTTTCGTAAAGATCACAGCCAAGAAAACCCTATGGAGCAGTTCTACTCTGTAACACATGGGGTCTCCATGAGTCAGAATTGACTTGACAGCAATGGGTTTGTTTTTTTTTTAATTATATTTTCCAAATCCAATATTTTTTATTGTGTTTTTTTCTGTGTTAAAATATGTTACTGCTTTAAGATATCCATATCTGGTGGAGCAGTAGTTAAGAGTTCGGCTACTAACCAAACGATCTGCAGTTTGAATCCACCAGCTGCTCCTTGGAAACCCTTTGGGGCAGTTCTAGTCTGTCCCATAGGGTCACTGTGAGTCGGAACCAACTCGATGACAATGGGTTTGGTTTTTTAGTATCCACTGGATATTGGTTATTCAGCTTCTTGTTTTTCTTTGTGGTCATGGTTGTGGTAAATTTTATTTGTGATCTTACTCGTCTATGGGAATTTGACCTGTTTTTGCTTTTATTGGGTATGTTGATGGATGAATGGGGTGGGGGAGGTTGTAGAGAAGAAGGGCAAAGCCATGTCTCTTAACTTGCGCTTCTCTTGGTGGTAACATTATTCCCTTGCCTTTCCAATTCTTGTCCTCCTGGGGAACATATCCATGCTTCTGCCCTAGATGTATTTTCTATGGAAATTTTCTCTTTTCGCTTTAGTCATCTGTTGTGCTTGAGCTCTGACACCCTACGCTCTACCACCACCTTGGTATGTGTAAGAGGAAGGGAAAACAGGAAACTCTAAGTTGGGTTAGTCCAATTACACCTGTTTTTATCCACTTCTCATCCTAGCCAGGATCTGCAACCCCGGTTATGTTATCTCAATCACCCTTGTGGTACTAGATGTTACTGTTTTGGCGGAGCAAGCAATGACCTACCCAGATCCTTGTGGTGGAAAGAATGTTGTTGTGTCCTCGAGTTGATTCCAACTCGTAGAGAATAGCACAACTCAAAACCTCTCACCCAACTTATTCCCCCACTTTTGGTGCCCAGTTCTCTGTCCTTAATGTCTATTTCCTTTTCTCACCAGGATACAACTGTCTTCTCTTTCCTCAGAGGATTCTTAGTCTTGACTTTATTTATTCATATCCACACCTTCTTTTTACTTTTGTGGCTTCTCCAGGAAGTGGCTGGAGGAGGAAGCAAACAACTTATGGGAGTACACCATCCTGTCCCTGAAAGACTGTCTTCCTGGACACCCAGCTTCACGTCTGACAACGGGAACATCTCAGAACTTCCATTTATGCGTTGTTGTTAGCTGCTGTCGAGTAGGCTACTGATTCATGGTGACCTCATGTACAATGGGATTGGACTGTTGTGATCCATGAGGCTTTCACTGGCTGATTTTCATAACTAGATCACCAGGACTTTCTTCCTTGTCTGTCTTAGTCTGGAAGCTCTGCTGAAACCTGTTCAGCATCATAGCAACATGCAAGCCTCCACTGACAGATGAGTGGTAGCTTTACTTGAGGTGTGTTGGCTGGGAATTGAACCTGGGACTCCCACATGGAAAACGAGAATTCTACCATTGAACCACCACTGCCCTCTCATTTATGTGGACCCATTGGATTAGTCTGGTCCTTATTATTTCTGGGTCCATGGCATGGTTACTGTAGCTGGTTTAGCTATAGGACAATCTGTAATTCTAGGGTCTTCACTGAAGTTGAAATACTTCAGAATAAATTGGGTTATTAGGGCTCCACTTGTTCAGAGGAAACTGTCTGGATGAGGGTCTGACCCTGAAACTACTAGAATTTTCACAGAAAAATGTCTCAATTTAAAAGATTGGTTTTCCGAATCTTAAGCATAGATCACATTTGCGTGTCTAGTTACAGGTTCTCACTGGTTTATAGTCTTTGACATTGGCCCTAGTCACCACTGGTCCAGGATGTGGTTCATAGGTGAGGGATTAGACTTTGTCTATTAGATGGACAGGGCAGGTAGGCTGAACAGGTGTTTCTACTTCAGTGTAGTTTCAGCTGGGCTGCCTTAAAAAATTCAGAGGTGAAACGGTCAACCTAAATATCCTACTGCCAGGCAGATCATGGCCATGCTGAACCATGTAGCATTATATTCAGAAGACTTGGGAACCAGCGTTTGGATGATCGTTCTGTTGGTAGCTGAAACATAGTCACTGGGGTGAAGTTAAGAGTTCCTTTTCCAGAAGGACTGACATAACACAAGTGAAATCTCAACAATTAAAGTACTAAAAAATGTCCAAATAACTACTCATGAATAGCGACCAGGTTAGAAGGTCAATTAAACTAAATGAGGTTCATGGCTTGGGGGACATGAATCAGGAAACATGACAAAGAAAATTTTGTTATGTGTGCAGGGAAACTACATGTGAATGAAAGGTTCAGAGCTGGGTTTGATTTAACGGCCAAAGGGGAGTGTAGATTTGGTTTCACCAAACTGAACCTGATAGGGGAGGTAATATAAACCTGTACAGACTTGGCTAGTCAAACCTGAACCAGAGTAACTATGGCGTGCATGTGTGAGGAATGGCTCTGGAGTAAGGGGCAGTTAATGGACGGGATGCGCTGACGTCTCAGCTTTGGATAAAGCAAACGCAGAGAAATTCAAGAGACAAGAGAGGGCTGCCACAAAGGTGCTTTCATTTCAACGGTCGTACAGTTACTCCTCAGAAGAGACAAAACCAGGGTCAGGAAAATAGCAAATGGGTGGAATTTTCAAGGATCATGCAAGTATTACAAAGGTCACAAAATTGGCCTGAATTTTCTTACATCTTTCCTTCCGATGGTGCATCAGGTAGCTCCAAGAGTCCACATCTTCTCATGTTTTTCTGTTTAAGTAGGAAAATAAACTTATGTTGTAGGCTTTGGAAATTCTCCCTGGATTAATACAGGTCGTTTTTATCTCAGGGGAAGCCCAGAAGATGCCTTCTCTTTCAACGTCCCTCCTGTTCCATTGATTAATCTCTCATTCTTTCACTCAAAACTTAGTCATTGTCTACTGTGTGCCAGGCACTGCAAAGATTCACTAGAGATATAAAAATAACTACAACAAAATTTTTGCTTTTGAGTTGACTCCGAAGGCCACTGTTCATCTCACTATCTTGGAAATCAGCCATAGCATAGCCCTGTTAGGCTCCATAGACCTTCCATGGACTGGGAAGTAATCAAATATGAGCTGGGAGCTTAGTTGTATGAAATAGCATGTTTCTATGGAGAGTTCACAGGTTTGGGAATTCAAGGATGGGGTTTGGGTGACCTTGTGCATGTAAGATGGTCAAGCTCTGGGTGACCATTAGATCTGGTTAGAAATCTTGGGCCAGTTTCTTACTTCTGCTGGGTTTGGTTTCTTCATATGTCACATGAAAATAATGATACATATCTACCTTAGGGTGATTTTAATTTTAAATTGTATCAACATATGTAAATTGCTTAGTGCAGTGCATGGCACATGGTAATTGTTCAGTAAATAGTAGCCATTATTATCTCTCTGGATTTTTGATTTCCTAACCACAAAATGAGCAAAATGATCCTGAGATCCAATCCAATTGTTAAACACTTTTGATTAGGACAATCCTCCCTCTTCGCACCCCAAACCAGGGACAGCCCCTAATCTATTTCTATCCTGGGATCTCAGGACCTCTCTTTTTCCAACTCCCAAGGGCCCAGAACAGGATTGGATTCCTTACTTTATTTTGTATTCTTCAACACAGGCTACTTCACATTCTATTTTGAGCTTGTAGTTGTTAAGGTTGCCATCACAGCCAGAGTAGTGAAAAGTTTCACATCTCTTGCTGGTTTTGTTGTAGAAATATCGAAAGTGAATTTCAAAGCAGCTGCCAGGATTCACATCCATTTTGCAGGGATCTGCATGAGAGATTGTCATTGGTTTAGGGGGGTTGGTAAGGACTCAGCAGGAGGGTCTATCTTTTTTTTTTAATTGTACTTAAGATGAAGGTTTACAGAACAAATAGTTTCTCATTAAACAGTTAGTACACATATTGTTTTATGACATTGGTTAACAACCCCACGACGTGTCAACACTCTCCCTTCTCAACCTTCGAGGACGTTTTCTTTGGTGAAAATATACATAGCCAAAGTTACACCATTTCAAAAGTTTCTACATGTACAATTCAGTGACATCGACTACATCCTTCCAGTTGTGCTGTTATTCTCACTGTCATTTTCCAAGTTATTCCATCACCATTATCTTCAACTCACTGCCCCCTAGGCTTCCCATCAAACCTTTTGAGTTGCTGTTGTCAATTTGATCTCACATAGATAATTCTTTTTTTCTTTTTTTTGTACCTTAGATGAAGGTTTGCAGAACAAATAGTTTCTCATTAAACATAGTACACCTATTGCCCTATGACAATGGTTAACAACCCCACAACATGTCAACGCTATCCCTTCTCAACCTTGGGTTCCCTATCACTAGCTTTCCTGTCCCCTGCTGCCTTCTAGTCCTTGTCCCTGGACTGCTGTGCCTCATTAGTTCCATTTTGTTTTATGAGGCTGTCCAATCCCTGGCTGAACGGTGAACTTTGGGAGTGACTTCACCACTGAGCTAAAACGGTGTCCGGGGGTCATATTCTCGGGGTTTCTCCAGTCTGTCAGGCCAGTAAATCTGGTCTTTTTTTTGTGAGTTAGAGTCTTGTTCTACATCCTTTTCCAGCTCTGTCCAGGACCCTCTATTGTGATCCCGGTCAGAGCAGTCTGTGGTGGTAGCCAGGCACCATCTGCCTATACTGGACTCGGTCTGGTGAAGACTGTGGTAGCTGTGGTCCATTAGTCCTTTGGACTAATCTTTTCCTTGTGTCTTGTTCTCTTCATTCTCCCTTGCTCCCGAAGGGGTGAGACAAGTGGAGTATCTTAGATGGCTGCTCACAGACTTTTAAGACCCCAGACTCTACTCACCAAGGTAGAATGTAGAACATCATCTTTATAAACTGTGTTATGCCAGTTGAGCTAGACGTTCCCTGAGACCATGGTCCCCACAGCCTCAGCAGGAGGGCTTATCTTTATGGGTACTTACAAATTCATCATTTCAACCTGAAAACATTCCCATATTCAAGGTCACAAGAGAACCAACTGGTTTTCCCTTGGAATTAGGGCCACTTGGCAAAGTCATCCTTAGATAATGCAAGCATATGTAACAATTCTGGGCTCTGGTCTTGGAGAAGCAGTGAGCAGTGAAAGAGGAGGTTCCACCACTAGCTTGTGCAATGTGGCAAGTTTCCCCCAATTTCACATCTTCCATTTTATTAAAGATCACTCACTTCCTTCTCCTCCATATCCTCATCTCCCTCTCCTTTTCCTGCTTGGACAGGGCACAGAATTCAGATTGCTAACTCCCTGGTTTTCATGCATTCACTACACCATCTGTACCACAAGGGCTCTCTGCTATCTCTGGAGGGGATGCCCCTTTGCCCCTCATAGCCTGCCATCTTTTCTCCTTCTCCTTCCCAGATGCAAGCCCTCTGTTTTTATTGGTGAGACAGGGAGTGAATGTCCCAAACAGCCATAATTGTGGTTGCATTGGCAAATGTGGGGATTATTGCCCCCTACACCTACCCTGAGCAGCCAGTCTGGAATTTACTTCCTGGTAAAACTATTTAAGTACAGTTGTATACATTATCTTATTTCATACTCACAGCCACCTTCTGAAGCAGGTAACTTTCTGATCACCGTTTTACACATGGGGAAACTGAGGAAAGTGGTTGCGTGACTTGTATAAGGGCACATATCTTCTAAGTTGCAGCGCCAGAATTTTGAGTGTCTAACTCACAGCATAGGCTGTGCCACCTTTCCATGCTCTGGAAGCACTGAGCCTGTACACACTATCTGGGAAGAAGCCTTGTTGCCTTTTCACACTGATGCTGTGAGCTCCTCTAAACAGGGATCACATGTTCAAGCGTTGCCATATGCCCAGTGCCCAGATATCGAAAATGCCTTAACTTGCTCAGTCTTCATCCCCCTCTCTCTCATTCCAATACATACTTTTAATGGCCTGGATGTTTTGAAATTTGTCACAAAACTCCTAATTTAAAATACTTCCACCTCTTTGGACCTCCTTAAAAAGAGATCCCCATCTGGAAAGGACTTACTTGTACCATAGTTTGTCTTCTTCTCATCCAACACCCACAAGAACCCTGAGTCAAGGGACTGAAGATCTATGAGAATTTTCAGGAAGGGTGGACCTGCCTGGACCACCTGGATAGCAGATGTTGTTAGCAATTTCTCCCTTCTCTCAAACTGGTTTTTGGATTTCTTTTCTATCTCAGGTTCATACCTTTGAACTTTTCGCATATCCTCCTAAGTTTTCCAATACCACCCATTAATGGGACAATCAGCCTGGAGATGATGAAGAGCCCTAGAAGAAATCCCAGCTTAGCAGGCTTCATGGTGCAGCAAGCAGCAGATAGGAGAGTCTTGATATCAACTGATGTTATATTTTGGGCTTGATACTTGAAAGGACTTGAGCCCACCTCCTCCAAGGGCCAGGACTGGGTATTACTAGGTGATGAGTTGAGCAGTGAATGCTTGGGTACCCAGCCATGAAGCTGAAGGTCCCAGGCTGATTGACCCCTGATAGTGAGTTCCATGTTGATCTAGAAACCATAGAAACTGAAGAATAAGAGCAACTGCATATGTTTAACCATGGAGGGTAGAATCATTAGAGCAAGGAATAAATGAGGGATGACTTCCTTTCCCCTCTTTCTCCTTCTGCAGTAGAGAAGAGACTGATCCTGGCACACCAGAAAGAACGCAATAAATACAATAGTAATAGTAATGATAGTAACTAATCCCTATAGTACTTCCTTCATGCCAGGAACAATTTTAAGCAATATATATATATATACACACACACTAAATCATTTAATTATCACACCCACTCCACAAGGTTGTTGTTGTTAAGTGCCGTCGAGTTGGTTCCAGCTCATAGTGACCCTATGTACAACAGAACAAAACACTACCCAGTCCTGCGCCATCCTCACAAGTGTTATGCTTGAGCCCATTGTTACAGCCACTGTGTCAGTCCGTCTTGTTGAGGGTCTTCCTCTTTCTCGCCTTCTCCAGTCGTATTTTGAGTACCTTCCAACCTGAGGGGGCTCATCTTCCGGCACTATATCAAACAATGTTCCGCTGCTATTCATAAGGTTTTCACTGGTTAATTTTTTTTAAAAAAAGACTGCCAGGTCCTTCTTCCTAGTCTGTCTTAGTCTGGAAGCTCAGCTGAAACCTATCCACCATGGGTGATCCTGATGGTATTTGAAATACCAGTAGCATAGCTTCCAGCATCACAACACACAAGCCACCACAGTATGACAAACTGACAGACGTGTGCTCCATGAGGTAGGTACAGTTATTATTATCATTTTACAGATGAGGAAACTGAGGCAGAGGTTAAGTCATATGTACAAAGTCACTCATCTACTATACAGTGGAGGTAAGATTTAAACTTGGCTCCAGAGTCCATGCTTTTAATCACTACAGTATACTTTCTGGTAAGGCCAGGAGTTTGCATTTTCATATAACTTTAAAATCAGCTTGTTGAATTCTTTAAAAGACCTTTCTTTGATTTTGATTTGAATTGTATTGAATCTACAGGTCAATTTGAGGAGAATGACACCCTTACAATATTGTCGTTGGTATATAGCTCTCCATTTATTTTAGTCTTCATTAATATCTTCCAAGATAGGTTTATGATATTTCTCATGCAGGTCTTGTACATCTTAGTTATATTTTTGATGATATTGTAAATGGTATCTTTAAATATCATATTTTTTAAATTGTGGTTTAGTGAAAATTTACAGAGCAAATTAGTTTCTCACTAAACAATTAATACACAAATTGTTTTGTGACATTGCTTGCCAACCCTGTGATGTGTCAACTCTCCCTTTCTCCACCCCGAGTTCCCTGTTTCCATTCAACCATTTTTTGCTTTTGGCTAGTGTGCCCATTTAGTCTCATCTACATGACTGAACTCTGAAGCACATTCCACATGTATGTAATTGTTTGCCCCATGTTGTTGTTGTTAGGTGCCTGTGAGTCGATTCCAACTCATAGTGACCCTATGTACAACAGAACACAACACTGCACGGTCCTGCGCCATCCTCACAATCATTGCCATGTCTGAGCCCATTGTTGCAGCCACTGTGTCAATCCATTTCACCTTCCTCTTTTTCGCTGACCCTTTACTTTACCAAGCATGATGTCCTTCTCCAGGGACTGGTCCCCCCTGATAACGTGTCCAAAGTACGTGAGATGAAGTCTCATCATCCTTGCTTCTAATGAGCATTTTGGCTGTACTTCTTCCAAGACAGATTTGTTCATTCGTCTGGAGTCCATGGTATATTCAATATTCTTCGTCAACACCACAATTCAAAGGCATCAATTCTTCTTCAGTCTTCCTTATTCATTGTCCAGCTTTCACATGCTTGTGAGGTGATTGAAAACACCATGGCTTGGGTTAGGCACACCTTAGTCTACAAGGTGACATCTTTCCTCTTTAACACTTTGAAGAGGTCTTTTGCAACAGATTTGCCCAATGCAATGCATCCTTTGATTTCTTGACTGCTGCTTCTATCGGTTTTGATTATGGATCCAAGTAAAATGAAATCCTTGATAACTTCAGTCTTTTCTCCATTTATCATGATGTTGCTTATTGGTCCAGTTGTGAGGACTTTTGTTTTCTTTATGTTGAACTGTAACCCATACTGAAGGCTGTAGTCTTTGGTCTTCATCAGTAAGTGCTTCAAGTTGTCTTCACTTTCAGCAAGTAAGATTGTGTCATCTGCATAACACAGGTTGTTAACAAGTCTTCCTCCGATCCTGATATCCCGTTCTTCTTCAAACAGTCCAGCTTCTCGAATTATTTACTCAGCACACAGACTGAATAGGTATGGTGAAAGAATACAACATTGACACTCTTTTCCTGATTTTAAACCGTGCAGTATCCCCTTGTTCCTTCTGAATGACTGCCTCTTAGTCTATGTACAGGTTCCTCACGAGCACAATTAAGTATTCTGAATTTTCCATTCTTCTCAATGTTATCCATAGACCTACAGATCTGTCTAATCTTTGGCTGAAGGGTGAACCTTGGGAGTGACTTCAGTACTGAGTTAAAAGGATGTCCAGGGGCCGTATTCTTGGAGGTTTTTCAGTCTCAGTCAGATCAGCAAGTCTGGTCTTTTTTGGTGTGAATTTGAATTTTGCTCTACATTTTTCTCCTGCCTGTCTGGGACCCTCTATGGTGATCCCTCTCAGAGTGCTTGGTGGTGGTAGCCAGGCACCACCTAGTTGTTCTGGGCTCAGTCTGGTGGAGGTTGTGGCAGTTGTGGTCCATTTGTCCTCTGTACTAATCTTTCCCTTGTGTCTTTGGTTTTCTTCATTCTCCTTTGCTCCAGCCAGGATGGGACCAGTCGATGTATCTTAGATGACCACTTGGAGGCTTTTAAGATCCCAGACACTACTCACCAAAGTAGGATGTAGATAGAACATTTTCTTTATAAACTGTTACGCCAATTGAGGTAGATGTCATTCGAGACCATGGTCTGCTGCCCTCAGCCCAGTAACTCGGTCCCTCAGGGAGTGTGAATGTGTCTGTGAAGCTTCTATGACTTTGCCTTGGTCAACTTGTGCTGACTTCCCCAGTATTGTATATAGTCTTACCCTTCACCAAAGTTACCACTTATCTACTGCCTAGTTAGTGTTTTCCCCTCCCCACTCCTCCTCTACCTTGTAACCATCAAAGATTGTTTCTTTCTGTGTATAAACCTGTTGTTGAGTTTTTATAATAGTAGACTTGTACAGTATTTGTCCTTTTGTGATTGACTTATTTCACTCAGCCTAATGCCCTCCAGATTTATGCACGTTGTGAGATGTTTCACAGATTGACCATTGTTCTTTATCATTGGGTAGTATTCCATTGTGTGTGTGTACCATAGTTTGTCTATCCATTCATCTGTAGATGAACACCTATGTTTTTTCCATCTTTTTGCTATTGTGAACAATGCTGCAATGAACATGCGTGTGCACCTCTTATTTCTCTAGGGTATGTTCCTAGAAGTGGGATTGCTGGATGGTATGATACTTCTATTTCTAGCTTTTTAAGAAAGTGCCAGATTAATTTCCAAAGTGGTTGTACCATTTTACATTCCACCCAGTAGTGAACAAGTGTTCCAGTCTTTCCACAACCTCTCCAACATTTATTATTTTGTGTTTTTTGAATTAATGCTAGCCTTGTTGGGGCGAGATGGACTCTCATTGTAGTTTTGATTTGCATTTCTCTAATGGCTAGTGATCGTAAGCATTTCCTCATGTGTCTGTTAGCCACCTGAATATCTTGTAGATTTTAGAGATCAGACCCTAATCAGATATGTCTTAGCCAAAAATTTTTTCCCAGTCTACAGGTCATCTTTTTACTCTTTAGTGAAGTCTTTTGATGAGCATAAGTGTTTGATTTTTAGGAGCTCCCAGTTATCTAGTTTCTCCTCTGATGTTTGTGCATTCTTAGTAATGCTTTGTATTCTGATTATGCCATGTATTAGGGCTCCTAGACTGTCCCTATTGTTTCTTCCATGATCTTTAGCATTTTAGATTTTATATTTAGGTCCTTGATCCATTTTGAGTTAGTTTTTGTGCATAGTGTGAGGTATGGGTCTTATTTCAGTTTTTTGCAGATGGATATCCAGTTATGCCGGCACCATTTGTTAAAGAGACTGTCTTTTTCCCATTTAATGAACTTTAGGCCTTTGTCAAATATCAGCTGCTCATAGGTGGATGAATTTACACCTGGATTCTCAATTCTGTTCCATTGGTCTATGTATCTGTTGTTGTACCAGTACCAGGCTGTTTTGACTACCGTGGAGGTATAATAGGTACTAAAATCAGGTAGTGTGAGGCCTCCCACTTTGTTCTTCTTCTTAAGTAATGCTTTACTTATTTGGGGCCTCTTCCCTTTCCATATGAAGTTGGTTATTGTTTCTCCATCTCATTAAAAAATGTCATTGGAATTTGGACTGAGATTGCATTGTATCTGTAGATCGCTTTGGGTAGAACTGAATTTTCACAGTGCTGAGTCTTCCTATCCATGAGCAAGCCATGTTTTTCCACTTATGCAAGCCTCTTTTAGTTTCTTGCAGTAGTGTCTTGTAGTTTACTTTATATAGGTCTTTTACATTTCTGGCTAGATTTAATCCTAAGTATTTTATCTTCTTGGGGGCTATTGTAAATGGTATTGATTTGGTGATTTCCTCTTTGAAGTTGTCTTTGTTGGTATAGAGGAATCCAACTGATTTTTCTACATTTACCTTGTATCCTGATACTTTGCTGAAATCTTCTATCAGTTTTCTATCCAGTAGTTTTCTTGTGGATTCATTGGGGTTTTCTGTGTACAAGA